AAATCTTCAGGATTTTCAATATACAAGATCATGTCATCAGCAAATAGAGATACTTTTACTTCTTCCTTTGCAATCTGGATGTCTTTTATTTCTTTTTATTGCCTAATTGCCCTGGCCACTTCCAGTACAAAGTTGAATAGAAGTGGTGAGAGCAGACATTATTGTCTATTCCTTATCTTAGGGGGACAGCATCTAGTCTTTAACCGTTAAGTATATCAGTTGTGAGGTTTTTATACATGCCCTCTTTTAGTTCAGGGAAGCTCCCTTCTTTTCCTAGTTTGTTGTATCGTGAAGGGGTACAAAGAAATTCTAAGATTTATCACTCCCTTAAACGAGGATTGGTGTGAGTTAGGAGTTAGTGCTAAAATCTGCCTTTTCTACTCCTATCCCAGGTAGAAGCACTGCTTGGAGAAAAACCACACGACTGAAGTAGGTGCCACAATAGATTCATGGTGCCTAACATCAGTCAGGCCTTCAGTACTGCTCATCAGTCATTACACTTGTCCTTTGTAGCTCCCTCTCCTAATCCCCTCAAAAACTCTTCTCTTCACCATTCCCAAATGCCCAATTTAATCCCCACCTCTCAGTCTCGAAGATTGCCTTGCCTTTTAGAATATCAAGGAAATTTACGCCAGCTGAAACACTCTATTTTGCTCTCCCACATCCCTACCTAAATATCCACTCACCCTCTAACCATTCTAACTGCCTTTCCGCAGGTCTCAAGGTCAAGCCCTGTTTCAACCCAAGGTCAACTGCTCTACTGCCCCCTAGACCCCAGCCCTTCATCTCTTCGTACCTGGCTCCATCAGTCATCGAATCTGTCTTGTAATCTTGGTCATTCTGTCTAATGAGTTCTTCCCCGCAGTCAACAAAAAAGCTCAATCATCTCCCATATTAGAAACCCTCTGTTTCACATCCAAACTTCCAGAAAGAGTTAGTTTCTACTTACCTTCCATTCAGTGCTCATCCCACTGCAACCAGGTTTTGCTCTCACCACTCTACTGAAGTATCTAATTCTAAGTCCTTATCTTCCTTAACTGTGTTCTGTATTTGATACTGTTGATTTCACTTTCCTTCTAGAAACACTCAGTTCTATGACAATTGGGATCCCTCAAAGGATGTTGAGTAAAGAAACATTGAAAAACAAGATGTTAGTGTCCCAGAAGACAAGTGACATGGCTAGTGGTAGCACTAAAGCTACAAAAAGGCCTACAAGATAAGAATTGTATGTATTGGGCTGGCCCCGTGGCTCAGCGGTTAAGTGCGCATGCTCCGCTGCTGGCGGCCCGAGTTCGGATCCTGGGCGCACACCGACGCACCACTTCTCCGGCCATGCTGAGACCGCGTCCCACATACAGCAACTAGAAGGATGTGCAGCTATGACATACAACAATCTGCTGGGGCTTTGCGGGGAAAAATAAATAAATAAATAAAATCTTTAAAAAAAAAAAAAGAATTGTATGTATGGTTTTATAACTTGCTTTATTTTCAGTTAATACTCTATCATATGTACATAGATGCCCATAGAAAAGGGAGAGCCAACAAAATATTCATGATAGTAGCTCTGGATTACAGGATATTTTCATTTTCTTATTTTGGTTTATCTTTATTTTTTAATTTCTCTATAATGAACATATCACTTGTAATAACTTTGAGGAGCCTTAATTATATACTAGATACTGTGTTAAATACTCTACATAAATTTTCTAATTCTCAACACATTTCCATTTCATAATGAAGAAATTGATACTTATAAATTGCTAAAAGTCATGTGAATTACTTGTGCAATAAATATTAAAGAATAACAGAGACTATTTTTCTCCTATCAAATTAGCAGACTAAGAATACTCACTGCTATCCATAGTTGGGTAAGATAACAGCACGACATCAAGCAAGTTGCTTAATCTTTCTGAGGATCTGTCTCATCTTTTTTTTTTTTTTAAAGAATCTTTTTTTTAATTTAATTAATTTATTTTTTTTCCCCCAAAGCCCCAGTAGATAGTTGTATGTCATAGCTGCACGTCCTTCTAGTTGCTGTACGTGGGCCGCGGCCTCAGCATGGCGGGAGAAGCACTGCGTCGGTGCGCGCCCGGGATCCGAACCCGGGCCTCCAGCAGCGGAGCGCGCGCACTTAACCGCTAAGCCATGGTGCCGGCCCTGTCTCATCTTAAAATGCACTTAACCAGTACCTGATAATAAATAATAGTTACTAACAGTAGAAAACAGAAAATAATCCAGATCTCCAATAATAAGGGAACTGTCACAAAAATTAAGATGAGCTCATAAATCACTTTTCATGAATCCATTAACACTTATGATTTTTGAACAATATTTAAGTTAGTTAGGAAAATGGTTCCTATATTTAGGAACTCCATGCTCACATTTCTAACTACCTTCCAGACATCTCTATTTAACTGTCTCTCACACATCTTAAATACACGACTAGAAGCAAATTCAGTCTCTATGCCCGACCCGCATCAAATCTCATTGTCCACACCTTCCTCTCCATCACCCTTCCCCTTATATCCAATTCATTTCCAAGGCCTGTTGGTTTTACCTCCCAAATTTATCTTGAGTCCAACCACTTGCCTCACAGTGCCTATGCTAGTCCAACTTGGACTACTGCAACAGTCTCCTGATTAACTCCTAAATCGACTTTTCTCTCCCTACCCCAAGAGTAGATTCTTCACTCTACAACCAAACTGATCTTCAAAAAATCCCAACTGGGATTTTTAAATTACTTTTAATTTAATTTTAAATTAGGTTTAAGATTTTTAAATCTTAAACCTCTTTAATAGCTTCTCATTACTGTTAAGATAAAATATAAAACCTGGGCATGTCCCATTAACTCTGCATGTTTTGGACCCGTGTTTCCTCTCTTGCCTAATAAAGTGGACACCAGGTCAGGCTTAATAATTTGCCATTCCCCTCCCTACACACACACACACACACACACACACACACACACACACCCCTGCTAAGCCAATATCCTTTAATGTTCATCAAATATTTATGTGAGGGAGGTAGGGAGAACTTTCTTTTAGAAACAGATTCATTTACCAATTCACTCCCTTTAGCCAAAGCGGAGTCACTGTTCTGAAATAATTTGGTAAAATATTTCTCACTTCTCTATGATTCTTATTCTTTCCTCAGTAATGAGGGTGTGTGTGAGAGAGACTTTCTTATAACAGAGAAGCATATTAAAGAGTTTTTAAATAAAAAAATAAAGTACTTGTTCCTAAAAACTATATTTATGCCACATACTATACTATTTCTTGAAATTTTTCAGAATTTCAACTGACTAGAACCACATGCCACGTAACCCAAATATTGTGCTACAGAGGAGTGTTATTTCCTCTGGCAGCTGTAGTCCTTTTCGGCAGGAGTGGGATTACATTTTAACCTGAGTTAACTGGCATATTTTCTGATGTACTTTTGTGTCCCATAGAGGTTTATGTTCTGGACAACTCCCAGATCATTTACTCCTTAATCTGGCTCTGCTCCAGCCTCATCCCCTGCTATTCTCTTTGTTCTGTTATCTGACAATCCTATCCTAGTCTTTAGATTTACACAAAAGAGCAGGTTCCTACCTGCTTCCAGGCGTTTGCACATGCTGTACACTCAGCCAAGTAAGCTCATTCTCCTCTTCCATTCAACCTCACCTGGGAAATACCTACACTCTTTGGTCCTTAGCTCAAAAGCCCCTTTCTCAACAGAGCTCAGAGCTTCTATACTCTTCCTTCTTGGCATTTCTTGGAATGCACACACACAATTCGTGTAAATATTTGATTAATATTTGTGTGCCCCACTAGATTACATGCTCTGTTAAATTAGGGGCTATCATTTTCTAAAAATCACTGCCTACAAAGCACCTAGCCTGGCAAATGTTCATGAAACGATTTTAAGCAACAACTAATGTATAAACGTAAGAGTAATTTTAAACAGTGAGCTAAGGAGCAAGAACTTTTCACGGTATATATATATATATTTTATTTTATTGTATTTATTTATTTATTTTTATTTTTTCCCCAAAGCCCCAGTAGATAGTTGTATGTCACAGTTGCACATCCTTCTAGTTGCTGTATGTGGGACGTGGCCTCAGCATGGCCGGAGAAGCGGTGCGTCGGTGCGCCCCCGGGATCTGAACCCAGGCCGCCAGCAGCGGAGCGCGCGCACTTAACCGCTAAGCCACGGGGCCAGCCCAATATATATATATTTTAAATCCATTTTGGTTTTGAACTATTAGAATGCATTATCTAATCAAAATACTAAATGTTTCCAAGACAGAAAATACACTAAAACATTAATAGTGATTATCCCGGAAGAGTGGGACAAAGATTTTGTTTTCTACTTCTGTACATTCACTAAATTTTCTACAGTGAATATGAGTAACTTTTATGATCAGAAAAAGGATGTACTTTTTTAGAAAAGATCTTTGGCGACCTCCAGGGACAGTTTCCACGGAGGCAGGAGAAAGGAGCCGGGATGCTAAGGCTCCCGCTATAAAAGTGACGGGATGGGTCTCTTTCCAGATGGGAGAGACCTGAGCACAGCACGTTTGTCTGTTGCGGGGAAAGAACCACAAGACGGGAGAAGCTAAAAATGCGAGCAGAGGACGGGTCGAAGAGGCGCCCGGCCCCAGCAACGTCCCTCCCGTGGGGCTGTCCGCGGGCCAGGGAGCTCCTGCTCGGCCTGTATTGTCTCCAAAGCACGGGAGGAAAGGAGGAAAAGGGTAGTGACGGTCTATTGCGGCTGCTGTGCAGCAAAGAAACCAGGAAAGGTGGACACGCCTTCCACAGGCACCAGCAGCCGCCTCCACGAGAAAACCCCTACCACCCCAGGAGGGAAACTGTAACCACGGACCACTCGGGCTTTGTCCCAAGCCCCTCCCCTCCCCCGGGCGCTGCCGAGGGGGACGCACAGGAAGGGGCGGGGCTATGAGCACTGCGTCGCCCGCGAATCTCGCGAGTCATAGAGAGCGGAAGTGGAGTCGGTGCAGGATGAGGTTCCTGGTTGCTTTGGTGCTTGTGACCGTCGCAGCGGCGGGTAAGACCCCCCCTCTGCACCTCAGTAATGCCACTCTCCCCCCTAGGCCCACCCTCCTCACCATGGCCGGTCGCCGTCTGAGCTCCCTTCTTCCCTGCCGTACCCAGCACTCCGCTCGCCATCGTCCTCCCGCCCCCGTTTACCCGTTGTCCCGGTCTCTCCTAGCTCTGAGGGTTCCGTTCTGCCGGCCGGTCTCTTTTCAGGACCACTGGTTTCTCTGTTTCAGGAGTCGCGCCGGTCATTCCCTCGTCAGCCAACGAAAAGCTGTCTCCCATTTTGGAGAAAAGAGAGACTCCGGAGAAAAATCAGTCTCGTACAGAAGGAGACTCCAGCCAGGCCGCCTCGAGCCAGCCGCTTCAAGGAGAAGATTCCCTCAGACTCGCTGAGGGACAGCAGTCCACGAACGACAGCTCTAACAAGCCAGATCAGAAGGGGCAGCCCCCGAACAGTGGCTCTGGCACGCTGGCTCAGGAGAAGCAGCCCCTGAACAATGGCTCTGGCACGCTGGCTCAGGAGGGGCAGTCTGTGGAAGACCACCCGGTCTCCAACCCCTCTGATAACAAAGAGTCCACCAAGCCTGATTTAAACACGCCAGGCGACAACGGAGAGACTTCACATGCTTCCAAAACTGAATCTGGGGAGACAGTATTAGTGGACTCTCACTCCGCTTATCCCCAGCAGGAGGGAGAAGGTAAGCCTTCAGAGATTGCTGAAGAAGTGGAGCCCAAGGAGGCTGACGAAGGTGATACGGAGCCTGAAGAAGGTTCACCACCCAAAGAAGAGAAAGAAATGCCCAGCCTTGCCGCCAGTGAGAACCGTGAAGGGGTCCTTTCGGATTCCATGCGTGGGGAGAAGGATGATGTTTATAAGGACAGTCTTGGAAGTGCCAGTGCAGAGAGCAGCCACTTCTTTGCATATCTGGTGACTGCAGCCATTCTTGTTGCTGTCCTCTATATTGCCTATCACAACAAGCGGAAGGTAAGTCAAGAGTTGCCTTAGGAAGAGGAATGGGATTTCCTCCACCCTGAAAGCTCAGTGTATGAGTGTATCCATTACTCATCTGCCTGTGAGCACCGGGGATTTTAAGACAAACTTCAGTTTTCTCTCAGACCTAGCTAGGGCTCTTGACTCTTGTTTTATAAATCATTTGTTTTCAGGTCTGTTTCCTCTAAGTGCCCTCTGCTGCTGCATTAGGTGCCAAGTTAGGAATTATTATGATCTGATCTGAACTGTGGTCTCCTCCCATAACCTTGAACTTAGATCCTTCACAGCTTCAGAGGACCTGAGTACCTGATAGTTTGTAAGTAGTTAGAGCACTTATCTTCCCCTTTCCACTCTTGAGACTGCATCGTTTCTAGCTTCCTTTCCCAAGCTTTTGTCTTCCATCTGCAGCAGCAGAAAGAATGGTTTCAGTTACACAGTCTTCAGCATCAACAGCAAAGGGCCCAGGGACTATCTTCTGCAGTCAGTTGAGTTTCTGATTAGAAGAAAGGCCAGAAATTGCACAGATACACTCATCTTTTACTTCTTTAGCAGGATTTGGTGTGAAGTAATATCTGTGTCTCTTAGCAGCCACTCTAATGACAAAATGATAACATTTCCTATTGAACTCTAAGAATGTAGTAGTTTCTGTAGTCTAATTAAAATTGGATAGTTCAATTCATGATGGCCATAAGGCCAATGGCTGTAAGGAATGAGGAAAGACATTAAGTAAAAATGGTGCGTTCCTTATTCTACATCCAAGTGTTCATCATGGAGAGTAACTTCAGGTGTGAAATGAGAGGGTAAGGCTAAGATGAAGCAGAGTATGGGGTGAAAGTACATTTGCAAGTAAGGAATAATTATTGCTTATGACTTAAAAAAATGGAAATTCTTAGCCTGGAGCTCTCTGGGAAGAGGTTGGCAGATCTTTGACTGAGTGCTCTGGAGTAAATCATACAGACTCCCACAGGCTGGAGCTCAGAAGAGCCTTCCTCCATCTGTTATTTCCTCTTTAGCAGTATAAAGGATTCTGATATAACTAGGCCCTGCCCTCCTTAAACTTGTTATGATTTAAATAGGTCTCTTGTGGGCATACTGCTCTTTTTACTGTCAGAGTCATTAACAAATGTACTACCAGGTGACTATCTCTGATTTCACAGACTGAAATATGTCGTCATAGAGCCACTTGTTAATCATTCTCTTTTTCCTTTCCCCAGATTATTGCTTTTGTCCTGGAAGGAAAAAGATCCAAAGTTGCTCGCCGGCCAAAGGCCAGTGACTACCAGCGTTTGGACCAGAAGGTAAGGAAGGAAGACCCAGGTCCGTGGGAGGGACATGCAGTCTCAGATGGGCCCAGCAGTGGGCTTGGCATGGTGGCGGCAGCTAATTCTGGGGGTGCTGCTGCCATTGCCCCTGCCTTTTCAGACCACCAAGGAGAAGCATCTATATATGTGTGTCTACAGTGTTAGAACTAGAAGAGACCTTCAGGGACTCTACAACAGCTCCCACCCTGAGGAGGAAACTCAGGCCCAGAAACGTTGCGATTTTTTCCCCTAAGTTCCCACTACAAGTTCGTGACAAAATCAAGACCTGATGGCAACTCCCTAGGCTCCCGTCCTGTGCTTTTTGCTACACCAGCGCTTCATAAATTTTAATAGGCATATGAATCACCCTGGGGGGAATTGTGATAAAAAGCAAAATCTGATTCACCAGGTATGAGATGGAGCCTATGCTTCTACATTTCTAGGAAGTTCCCAGGTGATGCCGAATGCTGCTGGAACCACACTTTAGGTAGCAAAACGCTAGACTACAGTCCCTGAAGACAGACGAGTCTAGAAACATATAGGCCTCCAGCTCCCCAAATCAGCCCTGCTAAGCACTGTGGACTAGATTTCCTGAGTGCAGCCAGCCCATTCCTCTGCCAGAAAGCGAAGCCCTCCTTCCACCCACAGCAGCAGGAGCTGAGTAGAGTTCTCCCCAAAGGCAGCCTGTCTGAGCGGGAACACTGTACTCCCACTGCCTTGCCACCATGCACCCTTCCTTTCCCTTTCTATGTAGCAACAGGGAGGGCATTGGTAAAAGTAGTCAGTGGCCCGACTGTGAGTTGTTCCCTGACTTCCTACGGGCAACACAATTCACGTGTACAGGTCCTGCCAGCTCCAGAATAAGCCACTCAGCTCAGGACATCTTTGCTAACTAGCCCAATAGGTCAGTTTCACAATTTAGCACTGGCCTAGTGCCTTCCCAGAGAATTGACTATAAGGATTTTTTCCTCCTACTTCATTATGATTTTTTTCCTGATTAAAAAAAATGCACATGTAAACAATTCAAAACAGGGGCCAGCCCCGTGGTGTAGTGGTTAAGTGCGCACGCTCTGCTGCTGGCGGCCCGGGTTCAGATCCTGGGCGCGTGCTGACGCACTGCTTGTCAGGCCATGCTGTGGCGGCGTCCCATATAAAGTGGAGGAAGATGGGCACAGATGTTAGCTGAGGGCTGATCTTCCTCACATACACACTAAAATAAATAAATTAATTAATTAAAAAAAAAAAATTCAAAACAATACAGAATGGTACAAAGCAGAAGCCAAGATTCCCATATTCCCTCCACCAAGTGTGTATCTTTTTAGTGTATGTTTTAATTCAAACTGACTTTTAAAATAATTTTATTTGCTTTTATTTTATCAGTTGCTGTTTGTATGGTGGAGGGTCATTTTGTCTTAATTTTGAATTTTTTCTCTGAACCGCAACTTTTATAACATTTTTCTTTTTTTTGCCAAAATCATAGCACTAAGGTATATTCCTCTGGAAAAAGATGAAGGTTACCAATGGATTGTGTTGCTCTCGTTTCAGATTTGATTTTTCTGTTCTTGAGAACCTTGTCCTCCCTGCTGATTTGTTTCTAAATCAAGAGAAATGAAGAGAAAAGTACTGTGACCTAAGAGACACCCCTCCTCTAGGGTTTGGTGGCGAGTCTGGACTGGTAGAGGCGGGGGAATTGCTTTGGGTTTTTTGCACCTGCACTTTGGTGACCTTGTACTCCTGTGTTCCTTTTATTTATGCTGGTGTCTTCCATCCTTTCCCCCTCTGAGTGTGGGTAGAGGGAGCATGTGGGAACCCAGCAATGACCAAAGGGAGATCCCAGCCCTGGGCAGGCTACTGCTGCTGACTTCCCTCCCTTGGGCCTTGGCTCTGTAGTAAAGTTACCCCTTGAAAATAGCCTTGTGCTTGCCACGATTTATGTTCACAGACGGAGAAAACTCTGCAGGTTGAGGTGCTTTTCTACCAAGGCCTCTAACTTCGGTGGGATGTGCCCTATAAAAGATGGAGAAGATGCTGACTGCTGAGGGGCAAAGGGCTACTTTGAACCCATAATTCTCTTCAAAGGCCACAGCAGCAAACCAAAACAGCAGCTTAAAAAAAGTGTTTTATTGCCTGCAAGTCCAACCTGTCTAGCATAAGTTCTTCACATTTTTCTGATATTTTCATATTGCTTAAGACAAAGTGAATCAACTTCCATTTGATTGAACCGAGCATAAAACTGAACTTGAGGATTTGGGGAGTAAAGCTGTAAAGCCACTGATTCTGTTGCACATTTTTTAAAAATATAGTTATTATTATTGAAACACTGTGTTCTTCCTTACTCACAATCATAATAGGAACTTTTTGAAGTAGGGTAAGTTCATGCTTTGTGCAAGAAAACATGTAGGAGGATTTTGATTTGGGTCTGCATTTTTTTCAAAGGGCTTTTATGAAACAAGTTTCGCATAAACTCTATTTTTGCCTTTGTTGCCTAAAATAGACTAAATAGACGTGTATTTAGAAACTAACTGTACTCTCTGTTTTACCTTAATCTAGTTAATGGCCCTCACATCTGATACAAAATGCCAGAAGTAATTAGTAAAAATTCTCCTTTCATCCCATGTCAGGGGTTATAAAAAGTCAAGAAATTCAGAGTTGCCCTGGGGCACCTGAGGGTTGTGTCTTGGATCATGCTGTTGTTTGAAATTTTATATAAATCTCTTCGAGTCATGCTACCCTAATATAGAGGGCCTAAAGAGAGTTGTTCCTGCAACAGAAAAACTGAAATAAAATAGCTGATCTCAGGGAAATACAAGAATGTGGGAAGTGAGGGGAATATGATGAATTCTGTGCTGTTGAAGAAGTAAGTCTGAAGAAGGGACTGTCCTGTTTGTCATATTATCTTCCACCTTGCTTAAAACAGCCCATGGCTTTGAATTGAGATATTCATTCTTTGCAGGTAAAGTATTTGTGGAGATAAGGAATGAATGAATACTCTTCTTGGCATCATTCTTTCTACCTGTGCACCAGTCTTGTAATACTTTCTTCCAACCTGAGGAATCTTCTGTCAGGCTCTCATAGCATTCCCTAAGACCATGGTTATTTTATTCCCTTTTCTGTCTCCCCTTTCCCTATCTTTCCTCCTCCTCTCTAATGTTTTCTATTTGTGCCTGCCTACACTAGCACCTTTCCTTCTACCTTCCTGCATACCCAGATTTCCCCTGCTCTCATCTAACCTATTTCGTATTCATTCTACTGTTCAACATCTCCAGTAAGTGTTGCTTCCATTACCTTGCCATTCATTTTCTTTATAACCTTTACAAACTCACTTTGGTCCCTGTCTTTCTACGAATAATGTTTTTCCAAAGGTTCAGATCACTAAATCCATTGGCTCGGTCTCGTCCATGATAGAATTGGACACTATTGACCATCCAAATTGAAATTCCTCTCTTTTGGTTTCTCTGACAAAGTGCCCTGGCTTCTAAGAACTCCTTTGCCTTATCTTCTGCTGGTGGGGGGGAGGGCCCTCAAAGGCAGGTCTCTCTATTCCTTTATCTCCTCAGACGTTCATCCATTCTTCATCCTTTTGGGAATTTGGCCTAGTTCCCAAAGAACCCAGTCCTGCTCTGTGCTAAATAGTTCAGCTGGGTTGTCGTATTGTCACTAAAACTGAATTTCTTTTTTCTACCCATTAAGCTGCCCCTCTCAACTGCCTAGTTTCTTTAATCATCTCAACTCCAAACTGCAAACTTGCACCATTTTTCTCTTGTCACAAATGTCCTATCCATCTTTTTTAAAAATATCTCCAGCTACAATCTTTCCATTTTCCTTGCTTCCCTGTCCCCCTCACTCACCCACCCATTTCACCTCTCTCCTGGATTTTTTTTTTTCCCCAGGAGCCACCTTAATTGGTTCTCCTGTCTCTTGTGTGCATAAAGAGACCAGATTGGTCTTTCCAAAATATGTGTCCTGATTTGAAACTTCTGTCTGTACCTCTCATGGCTTAGAGAGTCAAGTTTCTAGGCTCTTTAGTATTCAGGACTCTGCAGATTGGCACTTTCCTGCCTGTCTTTCTCTGCATCCTAGCAAGGCCAGAGGCTTCTCGTCGGGTGCCCATCTAGGCCTCTGTGCCTCTCTCTTCCTGGTATGTCCTCCATTCCCTGGCTTGCTATGGTTGTTCTTTGGTTAGGGTGCTCTCCTTTCTTTTCTTTCCCTTGCCTCCCCAAAATGTGTTTCTTCAGGGCCCAGCTCAAGTTTCCCCATGTACCCCCCTGACTTTCCCACCCCACATGATTGGCTCTTTCCATTCTACTCTAATAGCTCTTAATAATGCCAATCACAAATTTGGGAACTTCAGCAAAACCGGGCAGTCAGTATCTGATGTCTCCGGTCTCCTCAAGAAACCTAAGCTACTTGCGGGAGCGCCAGTGGCACTGTTTCCGTATCTGCCTAGCATAGTGACGTTCCTCAGGAGTTAATTTCTTCTTGCAAAGGAGACGTTTTCTTTGTTCAGGACGTCTGGATGTGACTTAACCGAGGTCTCACACAGCTCCTTCTGGCTAGTGTTTGTTATCCCTTATTGATGGATTTTGGTCGTAAAGAGAGCAGAAAGCTTGGTTTCGGGAACCAGGAGGGTTGGCACCAAGTGCACTTGTTAAGTATTGTGGAGACCACATAGCTCCACTTTTTGAGCCTCTGAGAAGTATCGTTTCCTGTGGTGAAAGAGTAAATAGAATTGAAGTTTCACTTTAGAAATGGCACTGAAGGAAATCTCTCACACCAAAGGAAAACTTGTTTTCTGGGTAGTTGTCTTTTTGAAGATAGACTATTTGAAGCATGTTTTCCTAGAGATTGTGTGGATGAGGGTGAGCTGGCTGAGGCATCCCTCAAGCTGGGTGTGGGGGGAGGAAAGAAGCACAGGGAGCCATGAGCACACCCCTACCTAGACAGCTGTGTGCTTCCTTTCCTGCCCCAGCTTTTGGTTGAAAGGTCATTTCTATTAGGAGGAATCTGTGCTTCAGACATCGATGGTAATAGAGGAGCTTGTTCTCCTACAGGTTGCTGAGTAGAATTATTTCAAGTCTTGGGGAGTGGAAGGCCAGTCTATCTAGAAAGGCTAAGACAACTCAGAAAGGCCTGACAACTAGATATATGTATACTCTGACATTTGTTTTCCCATGATGGTTTTTAATGAAATATTTGGTGATAGAATTCTAAACCTCTAAAATTCCCCTGATAGTGATTTTCATTTTCTTCTCCATTTCATGCCATTTAAATCAAAAAAGAAGCCTGCCCCTTGTTTTTACAGGGTAACTTGATACATACTGCTGCACGTGTGATGAAAGCTAGCAGGCTTTGCACATGTTCTGAATCATTTGAACAGAGAGGCGTATGCTATACACCAGACCCTGTAGTTCTGCCAGCTGTTTTCTGAACACTCTTGCTGGGAAGGTTGCATTTAGCCTTGCCTTGCTTAAGTAAGAATCCTGGGAAGAGATTTTCAGGTTTAATTTAACTGTACACCCAGAGCCAAGACTGACTCTCACCTCACCTCCTTCCACAAGTCACATGTGAATTTCCTAAATATCCCAGTCTAGAAACTCCTCTGTAAACGCATTGGGTCTGAGCTGTGTGGTCTTCCAAGCTGCCAACAGAGCCAGCCCCCTCACACTCTTTGACAGATATTCCCTTAATTCAAAAGTCTGTTGTGTTAAATAAATGGTTGATTGTTGAAACTGTTTCCCTTCCTTTTTCGTTTACCCAGTTAGATTGGCAATGTTTTCTATTTTCAGCTTTTTGTAATTTAATTACTTAATTTTATTTTTTAAAGCTTATTTGGTCTGATTATAAGTATTTTTCAGTACATAACATTTTACTGAGCTTCTATGAATGCCATCTCAATGTAGTTTTGTATCATTGCACAGAAACCAAAATAAATTCAAATATTAAAGCTATAAAATCATTAAATTTATTAATATTGCATTAAAATTGACTGAAATAAGGCCTAACATAAGTGAAAGGTCATTTTTTTGTTTTTAGCCTTTAGCCTTCATTCACCTTCCCATCTAGTCCCTATATATGTACCAATAAACTGGAAACAGCATTCCTGAACTTTGCACACGTTCTTTCTATGTTCCGATCCCGACTGATTTCCAACCCCACTCCTCCTCCCCATCAGGCAGCCATGTTCTAGGTTTAGGAGGTAGCTGGGCCCTTTGTCATGATACATTCAGTTACCTTTCAGTGCTTGTCCTCTGCTGTACCCTTGACCTGGAATGCTCTTTCAGCCTGCTTCAACCCCAGTGAAGTCATCTTTCCTGTCCTGTGCCCTAACTACTAACGTCACCCTTAGCTGTGTATTTTTGGAAGATAAGCCTTGAGGCTCAGGTGCTGAGCTCTGTGAGGGTATCTTGGTGCTGGCACGTTGAGAACCCAATGTCATCCCAATCATAAGGAAGATGAACCTAGGGCCTGGCTGCATACAAATTGGATATTATCTGCTAACATACAGCTCGATAACTAATATGTTGTCTTTACCCCCAGCCCCCACAACCACACTGAGCCTATCACAGGCATTTCCCCACTCTGAAAGAGCCATTGAAACCAGCAAAAATGGGATCTGGAGGCCTCTGAACACTATGGAACTATAACCAAAACCATGCCCAGGTGTTGACTAAAACCTCATTAGGCACTCTTTTTCCTCAATGGTGTAGAACTCCTGCAGTGCAGCATTAAGAGTGAATGAGAGGAGGGGCCCGCCAGGTGGTGTAGTGGTTAAGTTCATACACTCCACTTCAGCGGCCCTGGGTTCACGGGTTCAGATCCCGGGCACAGACCTGTGCACCGCTCACCAAGCCATGCTGTGGCAGCGTCCCACACACAAAATAGAGGAAGATGGGCACAGACGTTAGCTCAGAGCCAATCTTCCTCAGCAAAAAAAAAAAAGAGTGAGAGGAGAAGCCTTGGGACAACTGGACCAACCTACTGCAGCTGACCGACACTTTCAAGGGTTCTAGCCACCTGATCAAAAGAACGTTCACTTGGATTGTTCAGAGTTAGGAGGTATGGGTGTGGGGTGCAGAGCACTCTGCCTGATGAGACATTAAGGCTATCTAAAGCACAGCCCACACTGGGCCTTTTAGTAGGGCTAGCATATTATAAAGAGTATGAAATGTCATCGCCTGCCCCCGCTGGAAGAGCTTCAGTTTAAGAACTGTGATCTATGCTAGACTTGTGTGTCAGACCTGTATTCACAAATCAAAAACAAATTAGAGTGCCTTTACTTGAGCAAGGAAATAATGCAGAAAGACATTATGGGTAAGTCAGGGGCTGTGCCACAGCACTGGCAAAATTCCTCTGACTCATCCCTGACCAAACTAATTCTTCTTCTTCTGTGCTTGGATCCTTGAGCCAAGCTTCTTAAGGTCTAAGTACAGGTTCCGCTTCAGGATGGCGCTACTGCACAGCAAGGCCCCTTGCAGGGCCCCCATCAACCCACAGGTGAAGATATCCTGGCCTAGGAGACAAGAGCAGAGGCCCATGAGCATCCCCCAAGTGGGGGAGAGGGGAGAGCAAGGGCTCTCGCGTTCACTCCTCCACACTAGGGCCACCCAGAGATGACTTCAGATCAGGACCAGGGTCCACAGCCTGCCGAGGCAGCCCAGCTCAGGGTGTGCGGGGCTGCAGGAGAAAGCAGGACCTAAGGACGGGAACAGAGGACTTTGGGTGACAGGGAGGCCCAGGGTCTCAGGTCCTGGCAAAATGGGGCAGTCCGTGTACCTGTCAGGTAGAGGTTGGGGATGGGGCTTTGGGCCCTCAAGGAGGCCATCACATGAGGTTGCAGGCGGGCCAGGTCGTGGTCTGCCCCATAGCAGGCACCCCGGGGAGCAGCCAGATAGAACTGACTGGTCAGTGGGGATCCTCCACTCACACTCTCCACCTGAGGAGGCAAAGAAGGCAGTGGGACTTGTGAGAGCCTTGTCTCTTCTGCTCGCCTTGAATGAGCTGACCGCCTGGGACGAGGGTTCCCTGGCCTTCCCTGGAGCTCAATTATCTCAGGCCTTTGCTCCCCTGCCCCAAAGAAAGGGTCCGTCACCACAACCACATAGTCTACCCTCCTACCTTTCCCTCCAGCTGTGGGAACAGCTTCATGACAACTGACAGGGAGGCTTCAACAAAGGAGTTTTTGAGGGTCTCGTAGTCGCTGCTCCGCTTTCCTTTGGGCTCCTCCCACCATTCCTCAAACCACTCATAGGAAGTGGGCACTAGCATGATCAATGTAGACCGGTCTGGGGATGCAGGGCTGGGGTTACTACCGCCTGGCCCCTTCCCTGCCCCAACCCCCTCCCCCAGACCTTAGGCCCCACCTGGCAATCGGTCCTCCCAAGTTGGGTCCTTGGCTGTTGAGGAGGCAATGAAGAGAAAGGGCAGGTGTGCTGCAGCCTTTTCCCTGGGCATAGAGAGGAAGTGCTCCATCCTGGGGGTGAGAGGAGTGTGGCTGCCGATCTCCAGGCCACCAGCACCACCCCCAGGACAGTTCATCCCCGGGGACTCCCCATGGTTATGAAGCTAAGGCACAGCCTAGGTGTGAAAAACCCTCCCAGGAGTAAATTCCTGCCCACTTCCTCCCAGTCCATATCCTGCTGCTTATTCCCCAGTGTCAAGGGAGAAAGAGGGGCCCTGTGGGCTGTGGGCCCATGCTGACGCCCTCTCCCCACACATGCACACACAAGCCTTACGCCTTATCCATGTCTGTGTCAAAATAAACAAAGTAGTTGGTGGACTGCAGACCCAAGTCCTTCTTGGTGCCTCGTAGGCAGATGAACACAGACAGTATGCTCATGCCGGGCCGCACCATCCCCAGCTGCTGCTTCACACCTGCCAAAGATAACTGGTGAGGGCTCGTGACCTGTGGCCAGAGATGGCCACTCCCTGCCCCAGGAGAGCCTGCTGATGCCTGCTCACTCTCTCCGGAGTCTTGTCCTCCGCTGCCAGCCCAGCCTCTGGGCCATTTTTACAACTCTTGTTTCAACATTGACTTGGCAGAGGCCTGCTCTTCTGTCTCCTGCTGATTCCTGATCTTCCACCTCCACCCACTTCTGCTCTAAGCACCTTTAGAAGCAGGTGACGCCCAGCCTCCCTAAGCTGGCTCACGGCGCCTGCAGGACAGTCGCAGGCTAACTGCCTCCAACCTCCTCCTTAATGTCTTTCGGTTATGAGCAGATGACTGGGCTCCATACTACAAAGACCACACATGTGAACAGTAGTTTGTTATAAGCCTTGATTTCAGCATTAACTTGAGTACAAGCCATCTAATGAATGAATATGCATGATTCCTAACGTGCTGTTCAGTCAGTACAAGGCCTGGAAATGGTAAGCAGCGCAGATGAACAAATGCAAATGGCATTCCTGGCGCTTGGCATTTCAGAATTCAGCTAGGGGAGGAGGCAAGAACAGCACCAGGGAGGAAGGCAACAGCCACCTGAGGGCTCTAATGTCCCTGGGACCTAAGCAGCTGTGCCTCCCCGCCTCAACAGATGACCCCAGACCAGTTTTCCAGAAATTGCCCCTACAAATTCTTACCCTTTGTTCCCATTGAGGATAACTCAGCCACTGGCTGCTCTGCTTACTTCATTTAACAAATCTTTGTTGAGGACCTAACATGTGCAGAATCCTTTGCTGGGCCCCGGGGATACTATAAGGAATCACATATGATGCCTGTCTACTGGAAAAGAGGCTTTCCTGAAAGAAGCTGGCGATCCTCACAGAGGCTGCAAAGAATGAAGTGCTATGGGCAGGGTGACCATAGAATCTGTCATCCAAAACAGGCCACTTTTGAGAGTGAAAGGGGGCATTATAACAACTACAGTAGGACAACAGGCATAAGATTTACAGACACCCAGCTATGGGAGTACACTGAGGAGGGAAGGGGAATGTGGGGTTCCAGAGCTGCCATCAGGAGCAATGGACTGCCCTGGAGCCACAGGAGCACCTTATCACCTGCTCCCGGCACCCAGGGGCAATCACACCGCCGGCACTCCCTCTCCAGTGGGGTGGGTGTGGGCATGGACAGAACCAGGGGCCTAGAAGTGAAACCCCCTAGGTCTTCAGAGGCCCAGTAGAACAATTACCTCCACCTAGCCCTTCCTTTCCCTTTCCCCAGCTAGAAGGAAGGGATCTAGGAAGGTATACCTGGTAGAAAAATATAACCTTGGGTGCTGAATAAGACACCCAACAATTATATCAAGCCTTTCTTCTCCATTCCAGCCTTAGCTTCCCTTACAGATATTGGCAGACTAGTCTTCCCCACTCAAAAAACTTCCTCTGCAAAACATCCCCAGTAACCTCCTCAAGGCTCAGCAGTGGAATTAAGACAGGCGCTCCTATTCACAAAGGCTCCCTCTGCCTGACCACCTTACCTCCACCCTCAAACCCAACTGGCACTGCCTGTCCCAGAGGCCACCAGAGATCTGGTTCCCATCTGTGAGAGGAAGATAGACCTATGAGAATCTCCACCCCCAACAGATGGAAACAAAGAAGTCCCAGCACCTGGGCTCTCTGAGTTAAGCATCATCGCTGCCACTGCCTGAAATGTTCTGAAACTGGGATTCATCTGGGGCAGCATCCAACTACCCACCCAAGGCAGGCAATCAGTCCTTCAGCCCATTGGGGGCTGGTACCATTAGATTGGTTTCAGAGCTAAGATACATAAGAGCAGTGAAAGCTGTAACCGGACAGTGAAGGGAGGGCAAGCTGAACAGGTAACTGTAGCATCGCTGCCTAGAGAGAAGGCAGGCCCGGGTGGGACACTGGGACCTCTCAGAGGACAGTGTCAAGGTTCAGAGGTCCTGCGAGACAGGGAGGCAGGAAGTACCAAAGGCAAAGTCTGTCAGCCCACCCAGCCCCACCCCACTGCCCTGCCACGGGGCAGTCTCTGCCTTACCCCACGCCGCTCACCCAGTCTGAGAGAGGGGAGGCTCAGCTGGCAGCAGATGCTGGCTGAGGCCCAGCTAAGTGAGGCAAAGGAATGAGAAGGCTGGTTTTTGGTAGTACACATCTTACACCTTAGAGACAATTACAACTGCCACTCCACCCTCTCCCCTACAAGGAAATCTAGGACCTCACTTTTCTACTGAACCCACTCTGCTGCCCACGTTCCCCTGCTCCTCAAAGAGTGGCCCCCAGGCCACCCTCTGGGGTGGAGAGCCCCTTCCCACTGCTCTCTGGGCTTCTCCTCCACGCACCCCTGAAGTCCATGATTTCCATCCCAACCACATCTTGAGCTGCCCCCTTCTCTCTACCTCCCACCCCAGCCAGAGGCCTCTATCCAGACCCCTCTCTCTTACCTCCCTGGATTATTGGTCCCCTCCTGGCCAGCTGGCGTCCTTTCCTCAGATCACACCAGTAGCTTCTGGTTACATGATATCCTCAAGTCTTTCAAAATGGTAACTTCTCATCTAACTTTGGCTCAGCTACTTTGTTCTCTGTGGGCTGGCCTGCTCTCCTGCCCCTAAAACTTTTAGTGAGGGCTTTTCTCTGGAAGCCCCAAGATTCTCAGCCCAGAGCAGGCTGAGAGCCCCGGCTGTCAAGTCAGACACAGCAGCATTCTCATCTCAGCTTTGCCACTTTCGAGCTAGGCGGCCATGGGAAGTTACTTCACTGGTATGGGCCTCCACTTCCCCAGCGATAAACATGAGGATCACAGTGTCTCTCTCCCAGCTGGCTCTGAGGATCAAGTGCAATGACAAAGGTAAAGCCTCTCACATAGACTCACCAAGGACACACCCATAAACATGCCTACCTCCCCCCTTCACAAAACCAGGCTTTTATTTTTGGATACAGCCTATTAGAGGAGATGACTGGATTGAGGCTTATTTCTGTGTAGGTCCCAGATTTGAGCACAGGGCTCAAGGAAGAGAAGAAAGCCAGAAGGGTACTCCTGCAGCCTCAGCCCCATAAGGAGCTGGTTCCTGAAAGAGGCAGAAAAGTAGAACCCTGAGTCCCAAATAAAGCACACAACAATTCATCAAGCCTTTCTTCTCCACGCCAGCCTTAGCTTCCCTTACTGAAAATGTCAGACCAGTCTTCCCCACTCAAAATAAGTGAAAAATTAAGGACAGAAGCAGGATTCATACCACAAACTTAGTGAAAACCCTAGAAATGTTCCTTTAGGACTCTACCCACCATCATTAACTATGAGAAAAATGACCTAAGATCTAGGGAAACTGGAAATGGCAACTTGGAATGGAGACTTAAAAGAGGAGAGTTTGGAAAAGTGGTTGAGGTTATAAGGGGAAAAGGGATACATATGCCAAGAATGAAATGAGAGATAAGGACCAAAGGGTGGGGATACAAAGGAAGTTGTTTCCCAGCCCCTAAATACAGAGGCCTTGCTGGGAATGGATGTTCAAGACCGGTATGCTCACCTTTTCTGCTTAAGGACAAAGGGCAGCCACCGCCCTGGGGAAAGCATCAGCCTGGCTGGCTCCAGAACAGTGCTGGGGAACTTGGAAGAGAGCAACGCAGCCCAGTCTTACCTGGCAGACAGCGGGCCTTCTCTGGCAATAAGTACTCATATGTATTGAACAGTCCTGCGTCGGAGATCACGATGGGGCAATAGATGTTCACCAGCTCCTGACCCTTCTTCACACTGACACCTGCAGACACAAGAGCGTGGCTGAGGTTCTGTGTGCTCCATGAGGAAGAGAAAGGCCCATATCCCGCACAGATCTCTCCCAGCCTACACTTCATTTTCTCAGACCTGGGTGTCCTCCAGCCCACCTGGGGCAAGGCGGGCAGGCCCCTGGAAATCTGCAGTCAGTGAAGCATCCTCAAGCACTCTCTGCTCTTCCCACAGTCGCTTGGCGCTCACCTTCCCTCGCTCTCTCCCCACCCCGTGTGGGCGCTCTTTTCTTTAGCCAGACCCAACCACCTCCACACTAACCCTGACAGAGCTCCTGGGCTGAAGCCCATTGGAATCCCAGGCCCTTCTTCACTGCCACCAAAGTTCTATTTCCAAAATACTCTCTTTAGAACCCTCCCATGGCACCTCGACCTCTATAAAAGAAACTCCAAAGTCTTCTATCAGCCGTCCATGATCCGGTCCCTTCTGTGTGTCCAGCCTCATCTCTGGCCACTCTCACTAAACTATTAGGTAGAACCATATGAAACAGCTGATATTCAACCATTTTTGACCTATAAAAATGGCACTTTCCCAGTATGGCAATTTCTCAAAAAATTAAAAATAGAAATACCATACAACCCAGCTATCCCACTACTGGCTATTTATGCCAAGAACATGAAATAAACAATACAAGGAGACTCATGCACCTCTATGTTCGTTGCAGCATTATTCACAATACCCAAGACGTGGAAGCAACTTAAGTGCCCAACAACTGATGAATGGATAAAGAAGATGTGGTGTATATATACAATGGAATACTACTCAGCCATAAAAAAAGACAAAATTGTCCCATTTGCAACAACATGGATGGGCCCTGAGTATTTTTTTAAGCAAAATAAGCCAGACAGAGAAAGACAAACACCGTATGATTTCACTCATATGTGGAAGATAAACAAACACATGGACGAAGAGAACAGATTAGTGGTTACTGAGGGGAAGGGGGTTGGGGGTTGGGCATAAGGGGTAAAGGGCACATATATATGGTGACTGACAAATAATAATGTACAACTGAAATTTCACAATGTTATAAACTATTATGACCTCAATAAAAAAAAAAAGGCAATTTCTTATGGTTCAACCCAGTATTTCCAGATGCCTAAAAATACTCAGCCCTTTTATAACTCCATGCCTTTGCACATTCTGTTCCCTCTGCCTAGCTTCCTCTCACCCTTTATGACCTTGCTCAAGCACCCCTGCCTTCCCTCGAGACCTTCCCTGTTCTACCATCCCCTATGTCACCTCCCATCCTTAGTATGTGCCTCTATATGGCACTTACATTATATCACAGTGATCTTCCCTAGGAGACCAGAAACTTCTTGAGTTAGAGATTGGGACTTACTTTTTGTGTGTGTGACGAGATTAGCCCTATGCTAACATCTGCCAATCCTCCTCTTTTTTTTGCCGAGGAAGACTGGCCCTGGGCTAACATCCGTGCCCATCTTCCTCCACTTTATATGGGACGCCGCCACAGCATGGCTTGCCAAGCAGTGCATCGGTGCGCGCCCAGGATCCGAACCGGCGAACCCCGGGCCGCCGCAGCAGAGCGCGCGCACTTAACCGCTTGCGCCACCGGGCCGGCCCCAGGACTTACTTATTTTTTATCTCCATCTTTTATTGCCTAGCACATGAAAAACACGAATAAATATATTCTGAATTGAATTTAACTGAATCAATAAACCCACCTGGCTTCATGGACCCCTTTTGGCTGGAAGGAGAACTTGCTCGTGCACATCAGGGAAAATCTCACACAACTGACAGCCACCTCTCTCACCACCCCACAATTTCCTAGTCTCTTCTACAAACATGTTCTCAGAGAGCGCTGATGGCCTTTTCTCCATTGGTTTTTTGGGGCACTGGGCCACCCACTCACCACCTCCTCCTTGAAAGCTTCCTTTGGTGAATTCACCATCATACCAGCCCTGTTTTCCTCAGGCCTCTCTCTGTCCCCTCCCCTGATGCTTCTTTAAGCACCCCCTAGTCATGGATGGCCTGTTCTATGTATAGAGTCCTTCCTTGCATAGACCTCTCATAGAGTTCATCCACAGTGGGGTTTTGACTCTCTGTGCAGGTAACAACAAAGACCTGAACCTGGATAACGAGATTCTAGGCCCCACACTGCCATTTACAGATTGAGGGCAGGGCATCCTGCTGGCCTCCACACTGCCCTATGGAGTGCCCCAGTGACTCATTCATTCCATCAGTCACTGAACAAACATCTACTGAGCCTATTATGTCTAAGATCTATAGACATAAAGATTAAAAAGACATAGTCCCTACACTCCAGGAGGTCAGGGATTACTGGATAACTATTTTTATCTATTGAATAAATGATGAAACGTTGTTCTTGGGAAACCATGCAATCCTTTATCCTTCCCGCATCCTTTTTACCTCCAGACTAATCTCTATTCTTGGGCCCCTGCTCTGGGGCAGATTCCAGCCTTTAACCCCAAGAGGAGGGCGGTTCTTCTACACCTTCTGCCCTTGGTGCTTTCTTTTCTCTGCACCCCAGATCTCTCCCCTCCCAGCTCAGGGACCGGGAAGCACGACGCAGGGCTCTCACCACAGGCTTTCCCAGCTGAGTCCAGCAACACACTCTGCACAGGGGCCCTCGTCAGGACAGCGCCCCCGGCCCGCTGAATCACAGGGATGGTGTGGAAGGCGATTTCACTGGAACCCCCTCGGGGATAAAAGGCCCCTTTTATGTAGTGGTCAACCAGCAGAGCATGCATGGAAAAGGCGGTGTGGCTGGGGGTTACGCCTACAGAAGACAGGAAGCGGTGATGAGGCAAGAGCAGACAGGAGCACCATTCAGAAAGGAACATGGGTTCCTGTCAGATGACGCGCAGCCTGAGTCTATCCATCTCATGATCCAGATGATCCCCAGGGCTCAGGGGAGCCAGAGGCCCTGTTTCTATCCAAACATGGGGTACCTTGCAGATCTTGGGGCTACTGGGAATGTCCTCCCTGCAAACTGCCACGCTGCCAAGACCAGGCAGGACAGTGTTGGTTGAAAAGGAAAATCATCCAGGGTGTGGAGGAAGGGAATTTCTACCAGTGAGTCAGCAGGTAGGTGGACAGACTTCTCATCCATAAGCTCCAGAGGGCCTGGGGTTTATACTGCTCCATTTCAATCAGCCAAGCAGCTTCGAGAAGAAAGGTTGAGCCAAGAGGGCAGCAGCTCCTCCTCCAGGAGCTGCCCAGGGCCAAGGCCAGTACCCACCGTAAGTGGGGAAGATGTAGCTGAGCACTGCCTGGAGCTCCTGGGAGGCAGGCAGCTGCCGCAGGACCTCAGCCAGGCTCTGGGTGGACGCACGAAGGAACGGAGAGAAACGGGTGAGCAGCCCACACTTGCTGAGGAGCTGAGCCACAGGCAAAGGGAGGATCTTCAACAAGACGGCATGAACAGCTCCACTGGATACCACCTGGGGAAGACAATGAGCAGGGAGGGACAGGTCTCATCTCTAGAACCTGTGACAGAATCACCATTCCAACAGGCTGCACCAGCCCAAGGGCCCAGTAACACTTACCTCCAAACTTTGCTGAATTTGGATTTTTTAAAAATATGTACTCTGTGAATTTTTCCCATTCTACACTCAGATGAGTCCCTTTTTGTGCTTTGCAGTTTCCTGCCCAAATTCCTTTTGAAAAATCCCCATCTGGTCTCAGATGAAGCAAAAAAAAGGGTAGTGATCTGACTGCATGGAAGCCAGCCTTGTCAGGGAGGAGAGCAGGGCGCCCCCAGAAGCCAGAGTGAGAGTGGCAGCTGCTGAGCCCAGGCTCCAGAGACAGAGGGCCCAGCTGGGCACAGAGGCCAACCCGGGCGGGGGCTGAGTTCAGGACAGACATGACTAGTCCTCCCTTCCTGCCTCCCCCACCAGTCACTCCACTAATGAAGAAGGTCAGCCTTGTCGAAAATAAACGGGGTCCTCAGCATGTCCATGTTACCTTAACCAGCTTCATATACTTGTCAATGGCAGCCTCTTCCTGGGGAAACTTCTCCTTGAGGCCCTGAATGTAGGCTTTCTTTCCACTGTACATGGGGAACTCTTTTCGGCCACTGGGCCCTTCTAGTACCATGATGTCAAAGGGGGAAGACAAGTGAGCCCAGTCCAGCTGCCCCTCAGTGATCTGGTCCAAGATGAAACGGTCAAAGCTGCCCTCCTCCATGCGCCCAATATAATGGATTCCTGTTGGGAGATGGAGAAACAAGGTGTCATAGGGATAAGGGGATTCAGCCCTGGAATGGTGGACAAGGAAGCAAGGTGGAAAGAATGTCCTGCAAGGCCGAGTCCACGCCCAGGGGGCACTGCCACCCTTTCTGTAGGGAAGTGTTGCAGCAGAAACCACCAAACTCCTGCCCAGCTCAGCTCCCAGGGGGTACGGCTGTCAGACAAGGAAAGTGGTACCCGGAGAGAAGATGGGGCCTCCAAAACAACAGAAATGCCCAAGATCATCCCCTACAACAGCTGCTCCAAGCCTCCTGAAGATAAGAGCCAAGCTCCCAACCCTTTTCCACATAAGCCTTACCTGTGTCAAATTCAAGGCCATTCTGTCCAAAGGTATGACAACAGCCTCCTGCCTTGGTATGTTGTTCCAGCACCAGAACTCGCTTGCCAGCTTTGGCCAGAATCGCAGCTGCAGCCAGGCCCCCAAAGCCACTGCCAATCACCACCACATCCAGCTTCTCTGGCACTCGGCTGGCTGAGAAAGCTGCAGCAGAGGGAAGAGATGGAGCGTGGACTTCTCAGGCAGGGGCAGCAAAAGGGCAAAGGTGTGGAAGCCAAGGAAGACTCTTCTGGTTTGTACAATGCAAGAAAACTCTAGAGCAGTTTGGGGCTCTTGACTAATCTATCTCAAACATTTTACTGGGAAGTACTCAGGACCAGCCAGGCAAATTAAACAAAGTGATTTGTTTTGATCTGAACGGGTTTAACCAAAGCCACTATGTTCCTAGGGATTTTCCCTACTTTCAAAGAAAGCAAGAATCAGTAAACTATTATAGGAACAAAACAGAAAGCTGACAACAATACAGGCTGAGAAACCTAAGTGCAGACAGAGAGAGAGCTAGGGAAGAAAGAAAACAAGGAGGTGGGGGATGGAGGAGAGTGTCATGGGGCAGGCTGTTGGGCTACGGAACTGTCCATTCACAAGCTGGTTATCTTTGGAAAATGCAGGATCTGCAGGTGCTGGTGGCACAGCCTGGTCATATGATGGTTCTTTGAGATCCTGATGCAGAAGCTTGGGCAGGACAGAGATGAGAAATCACAGCACCACCCCCTCATACCAGAAAAGTCTGGAGGCAGGGCTAAGGGGGCAGCATCTACACAAGACAAAACTAGACAGCAAGTGGTGCTACATGGGCACTTCCAACACAAGATCTGTTCTTTAAAGATCACTCCCAAAGAATTTTTCAAGCTGCAAGAGAACTTGGTAAACTTTTAACTTTTCAAATGTTTTTAGAAACATGTGTAGTGAAAAATACATTTTATATCACAACCCAGAACATATGTAAGTATATAATATAAAAGTTTCACAATACAATACTTACCAAAACTATGTATGATGCACTCTGATATTTTCTATTCTACTGGTTTGAAAAACGGTTAAATTAGTCATCTCATTTTTGGACCAACCTAGATAAGTGAAGTGACTTGCTAATGGTTATGCAGTAAATTAGTATCAGAGTCTAAGCTAAAACTTAGATCTCTGAAGTTCAGACTAATATTCCTCTCACTTAGAATAGTATCGTCTCCAACTGTGTAGCAAGACATGGCACACAGAATTCTAAAATTTACAAGTGAGAGGGACCCTGGAGATCAAACAGAGGATCCAATTAAAAAAAAAAAAGTAGCAGAACTCTTTCTTTAAACCTTAGAAGTAACCCCAAAATATGTTTTAAAGATGACAGTGGTGGGCCGGCCCTTTGTCTTAGCAGTTGAGTGCGTGCGCTTCACTGCTGGCGGCCCGGGTTCAGATCCCGGGCGAGCACTGATGCACCGCTTCTCCGGCCATGCTGAGGCTGCGTCCCACATGCAGCAACTAGAAGGATGTGCAGCTATGACACACAACTATCTACTGGGGCTTTGGGGGAACAAATAAATAAATAAAAATAAAAAAGAAATAAAATTGTGGCAAAATACTGAGAAATATTTAAAAAAAAAAAAAGATGACAGTGGAGGTACTCTGGTAGAGGGAAGAGTGGCTCTGAGCCTGACGCACCCTGTTGAGCCTCTCCCAAAGTTTTAGAACCAGGGTTCAACCAGAAGATTTGACAGGCATAACCAGTCAAATCACTTGATGGGCAAAATGCAACTTCCTCTACAGACTGGAAGAGATTTCTGTGCAGCTCCCCTAAGTCGTTGAACCCATGGAGGAGGGTAAGTGAAAAAGTTAAGGTCCTAGAGCCAAGTGGGGAAAGGTTCCTTCCTGTCTATCCCAGGAGCTGCACCCATAGATGGTGGCACGCCCAGGACGCCAGCGCCTGTGGAGCCACTATTCCCCAGGTCCGCCCAGGCAAAGGCTCTTGCCGGTGGATACTAAAGCGGGGCACCTCCACGTGCAGGGAAGCTCTCCCAGCACTTTTTGTTGTTAGTGCCCTGGACTCAATTCCAACTCCTAGGGACCCTGTGTAAAGCAGAGCAGAACACTGCCAGGTCTTTTCGTGCCATCTTCTCACAGTCCAGCACTACATCAGACAATGGTCCACTGTTGTTTTTTTTTAAAATAATTTTATTTATTTATTTTTCCCCCAAAGCCCCAGCAGACAGTTGCATGTCACAGCCGCACATCCTTCCAGTTGCTGCACGTGGGACGCGGCCCCAGCATGGCCGGAGAAGTGGTGCGTGTGTGCGCGCCCGGGATCCGAACCAGGGTCGCCAGCAGCGGAGCGCGCGCACTCAACCGCTAAGCACGGCCCTGGTTCACTCTGTTATTCACAGGGTTTTCACGGCCAATTTCTTCGTAAGTGAGTGGGTGGCCAGGTCCTTCTTCCTCCTAGTCTGTCTAGTCTGGAAGCTCTGCTGAAATCTTTCCACTACGGGTGACCCTACTGGTATTTGAAATACCAGTGGCATAGCTTTCAGCATCACAGCAATACACAGCCCTCAAAGCATGACAACTGACAGACCGGTGGTGTGGTTCCCTGACCGAAAAACGAACCCGGGTCCAGGGATGACAGCGCCGAATCATAACCACTAGACCACTAGGGCTGGCACCAGCACTCTACATATGGGGAAACTGAGGCCCAGGTCGGCAGCGGCTCGCGCCGCTGGAATGGGAAGGCAAACCCTGGAGGAAGCCAGAGCGCAGCCTCGGACCCCAGGGTCCCTTCCTGCTGACCTTGCCTGAGAACCTTCTTCCTGGCCTCCTTGTCGGTCACCAGGGGCGCGGGTGGCCGCTTGACGTCCTCGGAGAATGGGTTCGGGGAACTGCCTGTGAACAGCCCCAGGTAAACTTTGCGGAGGACCACCAGCAGCAGCACGGCCAGCAGCACCAGCCAAAGCCACATGGCGCCGGTCGGAGGAATGGATCGAGAAGTGAGTCTGCGCCGACTGCGCCCAGCCTCGGAGGCCGCTGTTAGGTTGTCCTGCCCAGCCGGGAAGCGGAGGCAGCTTCGACCGCTGATTAGCCAGAGCCTTTTTGGCCAGAAGCCAAGACTCCGGCGCAGATTGACCCTCCCGGCTCTTCGTACTTCTTTTGCAGCGCGATGCTTCCATTGTCTGCTGGGAGGCGTAGCTCTCCCGGCTTGGGGGAGGCTGTACGGGCGGCGCTGTGCGCATGCGCGGAGGGCCCGGCGAGGGCTGCGGGACCCAGGTCCAGAAAGCTATAGTAACGCTGGAGACGCGTCCAGCGTTTCGCCCGTCTGAGGAGGAGGATTGTCTGGTGGACATGATCGCCCTGGGGCGAGACAAGGCTGAGCGTTGCAGGATTGAATCCCGACTGCGAGACGGGAGACCTGGGTTCTGCTCCGCGCTCTGCGTGGACTCGCAGAATGACCTGAGGCAAGCTGCTTTCCTCAGTTTTCCCCGGCAAGCTGTGAGAAGGCTCTGTCCGAGTCCCCGCACAGCCTCTGGCTAGCTGGGTGTCTTGATGGATAGAGAGCGCTGTTGAGGCCGGCGCGGCACAGCCGGCGAGCGCTCGGCCCCGTGCCCCCCAGATCGCCCAGTAGTTTTGGCCGCAGTGCCCCCTGGGATGGCGTTGCTAGCGGCAGGGTCCTGGTGGCGCCCCCAGGCCTCTAGTTGGGGCCCCGTGAGGGGGCGGGGAGCCGCCCAGCCACAAGGACCCTTATACCTACGTGCGCATTCGTATTTAAGATATTGACCCAGTTTCTAAATTAAATACCTATCCAGAGAGTTTAAGCAGTTAAGCAAGCAGTGGGATAATCATACCCCTTAAGGTAGCTCCTTCACTAAAGTGGTTGCACCATAAATACTTGGTTTGGAAAGGATCCATTTTTATAGGAAGGCCATTTCCTCAGGCCCAACTAGAAGAACTTGCCTAATATTGGTAGGAGTGACTTCATAACTTGGAGTACTTGTTTGTTTGACAGAGTTTTTGCTCTTTTCTTTCTTTGATACAGATAGTAACTGTCCCTGTTGAAGCCCCCAGCAGTGTTCCAGCCAGAACTGAGGCACTAGCAGGTGTGTAAAGCTGGTCATGCTGCAATGCTGCTTGATTCATTTCATGTACAGTAACAGAAGAGCCTTCCTGAGATTGCTATTACTATACCTGCCTGTCACCTCCCCAAGGTTGGCTGATGCGTGAGTGTTTTGTCATATGCTATCAGGGGGGTTAAAGAGGAGGGAAAGGAAAGGGAAGTAGATGCTGAGGCCCCAGATGACACAGTGAGGGAGAGCTAGTTCCTGAGATACCATGACTAAGAGGCACTGGCCTGCACACTAAATTACAGTGAGCCAAAATGTCCAGCCCAAGAGCCAGGAGGTATTCCTGTTCTTGGTATTAGGAATCAGTGCATCCTACACTGTGACAAAGATTCGAGTTTATCATTGGCAGCCAGTTCTTAGGGAATCCAGATCATATTCCCACAGTGGAGAGCTGACCTCATAGAGAGATCATCCTCTTTCCTTAGTCACCCAAGTCTGAAGTATGACTGTCAGTTGCGTGTAGGCCATCTGCCCACTTATGATCTGGATTTTTGTTGTGACAGGCATCCATGATGTCCAGTTCCCCCGTGATGAGGTATGGGCCTGTTCAGCCCTTTTCCTAAAGTGGACAACTTGGGATGAAAGACTTAGAGGTAGCCAAACTGTCTCAGTAGCTGCCCCATGTACAATATTGGTGATAACTGAAGAAAACTAGGGAGTCTGCTGCTTTTGAGTTTCTACCACTATAGGAACTAGATCTAGTATTATAAGCCCCCATACCCAGCTTGTCTTGGAGACCTAAGCCTGAACACTTCAGCTAAGACCACCCACTAAGGTGCCACCTATTAGCTCACCCCTTTGATAAGCTGCCCCAGATCCCAGTAACTTGTTGACGCAAATAATTCATAACCAATCTATAAATCAAAATTGGGGTGAGTTTATTATGAGCCAGATCTGAGAACTAGCCTGGGGCCTTCCTTCCCCAAGGAAGGAAGGACACCAAAGAAGTGGGGTGTACAGGGCCGGCCCCGTGGCTTAGCGGTTAAGTGCACGCGCTCCACTGCTGGTGGCCCAGGTTCGATCCCGGGTGCGCACCGATGTCACCGCTTCTCTGGCCATGCTGAGGCCGCGTCCCACATACAGCAACTAGAATGATGTGCAGCTATGACATACAACTATCTACTGGGGCTTTGGGGGAAAAATAAATAAATAAATAAAATTTAAAAATAATTAAAAAAAAAGTGGGGTGTACAGAGTGGTTAAAGAGCACGTATCACATATGATTGGAATGTCCGTTTTACAATAGTCATGAGATGCTTAGCAAATCAGTGGTCAGCAAGTCAGTGATCATGAGGCGAGCAACAGTAGGTCAGTAATTAATCCTTGGTTTAGGGAGAGATGCTTATCCTGAAGGAAATGCCGATATGGGGGAGGCTACATCCCTATCTTTAGGGGCATCATTGTTGTCTTTGGGGCATAGTAAATGTTTAAAGCAGATATACGATGCATGCTCAACAGGCCACATCAGGCCCTTTTGGAAAAACAAGGTCAGGCCGAATTAGTTTTAAACCAAATGGCTTCCTCATATACTCCAATATATCTGATTGCTTGTCATTTATTTATCAAACTTAATTGTCAGAAACGGACCCCAACACCTACAGTGGTGCTGCTGCCTTCTGGACACTCAGAATCCATCCCCCAGACTCATGCAGGGTCTCCTTCTTTCTATCCAGTGGCATGGGTAGTAAGAGGTAGGCATTTGGCTAAAGCAGCTTACTTATTAAGAATAAATTTACAGCTGCTTGAAGATTTTTAAAGTCAGTTTTTCTCAACAGAGGCATAACTGAATGATGAAACCAGTTTTTGTTTTTGTTTTTGTTTTTACAGGGCTGAGGCTTCAGAGACCTCAGGGACTTCTTTCAGTACTCAGAGAAACCTCCTACACCCTGGTGATGGCACAAAGGGACTGTTTTCTTGCTCTTGGTCTGAATGACTGCCAAGAAGGAAGGCAAAGGTAGAGCAGTCGGATCTCTGGCTCTCCCTGTAGCTTCTAACCTCAGACCTTATTAAACTCCTTTCTGAGCCCAAGGACAAAGCTCACTTGAACAAATGATTTTGAGTCATGAATGAAAAATCTTGCTCTTTCCATAGTGAGAAAGAATTCAGAGATGGACAGGTAAGCAAGCTCTTCTATTTGGGAAAGAAGGTGTTGGTTTGGGATATATCGTTAATAGTAATAAGATAGAGCCTGTGGCAAGAGAATGTGGAGCTTTAGAAATGTTTAGGAAGAACCCTCATTATAGTTCTCTTTCTTCTAGTAGAAGAAACTTCTGTGAACCTCTGAGTCAGTTGCCTTTCCAAGTGAGTCATGGGATTTTGGTTTGGATTTGCTTAAGTGGGAGGAGAATTTCAGTGAAAAATCCCCCAAGGAATTTGTATTTCATCAATTTAGATTGTTTACCCTACTGGCCTTTTCACTGTCAAACACCTGCTTTGACCTGATTGTCCTCGGGACTCTAGGTTCAATGTGACATGTCTTGGTGTGAGCCTGCCGGCTAACTCTACATTCCTTACCTTTCTCACTACCTTACCCAGAAATGGTCTTAAATGGAGCCTGTGGGCTTCAGTGCCCAGAACTGGGACAAAGCCTTTGCTTTGGGAGTCCAGGAAGGTTTTCTTCACTGTTCTTCCAGAGGGAAGTCTTTGGACACAGGAAGGGACTGAGTTGCAGAGGGAAAGGCAGGATGAAATGAATCCTGAGTACACAGACCCCTGCAGGGAGTTGTTCAGCACAATGAATCACCATCATGAGAACATCATGAGAAAATATGAGAACGTATTTTGTGCCTGGTACTAACGGGTGTGGGAAATATAGAAGAAGTGTAAGAGAATGTTCCTACCCTCCAAGCAGCAGAGTCTGAGTGGGGAGATAGGCCTTTTGCAGGGAAACCTGTGCTACATGCAGAAGGGCTATAGACTTAGAGAAGTGAAAGATCATTGTAGCCCAGTTGGGAGATAGAGCTGATCTTGAAGGGACCAGAGGACACAGAGAAGGTGGAGGTGGGGGTGTATTCTGGAGGAAAACCACATGACCCAAGGGATGGAGGTGAGAGGAACTGCAGCAAGTGTGGGAAATAATAGTGCTTAGGCACCATGAGGCCAGTTATGAGGAGCTGGCTCAGCTGCGGTGTGTTTAGATATCCATTCTTGCATCCTAGGCATAAAGAAATCAAAGCTGTGTTTAAGGAGTGTTAGTTGGCAAAAATATGTAGGAGGGATTAGAATAACAGGATAATCTAGGATTCCAGAGCCTTGACATAAGCAATGATTCCTTTATTATTTTCTTTTCATTATTATTTTTTTAAATTTATTTTAGAGAAAATAACACATTCACGTGATTCAAAATCCAAAAAGTACGGAGGATGTACATATAGCGAAAAAACTGCCTTCCACCCTTGTCCCCCAGCCACCCAGTTTTCCTGCTGGAGGCAAAGTTACTACTTCTTTGGGCATAATTCTGGAAATAGTCTCTGCAGAGACAAGCAAATAGGTTTATGTATTTTTTTTTTTTTTTATAATTTTATTTATTTTTCCCCCAAAGCCCCAGTAGATAGTTGTATGTCATAGCTGCACATCCTTTTAGTTGCTGTATGTGGGACGCGGCCCCAGCGTGGCCGGAGAAGCGGTGCGTCAGTGCATGCCTGGGACCCGAACCCGGGCCGCCAGCAGTGGAGCGTACGCACTTAACCACTAAGCCACGGGGCCGGCCCTAGGTTTATGTATTTTTAAAAAATCAAATGGTAAAATAGTGTATATACTTTGCCCTTTGCTTTTTCACTTAATATGTCATGAAGATTGTTCCATATTGTCCATAAAGCACTTTCTTATTCTTCTTTATGGCTATATAGGATCTCATTGAGCGGCTATGCTTTAATTTGTTTAATTAGTCCATTATTGGATATTTAGGGTTTTTCTAGCCTTTTGTTATTATAAACAGTGCTACTGTGAATGACACTGTAAGCATGTCATTTTGCACATGAATGAGTATATCTGTTAGATAAATTCCTAGAATGCAATTGCAGGCCCAAAATGTACAGAGCATATATGATTTTGTCAGGTATTGTCAAGCTATAGACATGGTAACGATTTACTCTCCAGGGTGTTTTAACACTTGGCATCTAGCCAACACAGTGTGTTATCACACTTTTTGATCTTTGGTAATATGGTAAGTGAAAAACATCATCTCAGAATAGTTTTATTTGGCATTTCTCTTATTATGAGTAAGGTTGAGCATCTTTTCATATGTTTAAGAATGATTTGTGTTTCCTTTTACATAAACTGTCCATATCCATGCCCGTTTTTCCACTGGGTTGGGTCTTTTTTTCCCTTACTGATTCATAGGATTTTTTTTTAACATATTAGGAAAATTAGTCCTGTATTGGTGATATGATTTGCAAAAAGTTGGTCAAGTGGTTTTCTTAAGCTCTAATAGGGGAAAAGTTTGGCTGAGCAGAAAAGCCAGAAGTGAGGAAACTGCTCCACTGAACTTCACCCACACACAGAGCCCTGAGACTTTAACATAGCCAAGAAATCTGTGTAAGGCTTTTTTTTTTTAAACAGTTTTATTTATTTATTTATGTTTTTGTGAGGAAGATCAGCCCTGAGCTAACATCCGTGCTAATCCTCCTCTTTTTGCTGAGGAAGACCGGCTCTGAGCTAACATCTATTGCCAATCTTCCTCCTTTTTTTCTTTTCCCCCCCAAAGCCCTAGTAGATAGTTTATGTCATAGTTGCACATCCTTCTAGTTGCTGTATGTGGGACGCGGCCTCAGCATGGCCGGAGAAGCGGTGCGTCGGTGCGCGCCCGGGATCCGAACCCGGGCCACCAGTAGCGGAGCGCGCGCACTTAACTGCTAAACCACAGGGCCGACCCCATGTATAAGGTTTTTGAGATAACATTAACTAAACTTTTTGAGGTTTTTCTTAAGACTAGATTAAGCAGAGGTTTTCCCTTACAGTATTCCTTGTAGTTAACTTCTCAGGAGTTCATTTTTTGTGTGTGGTTTTGGGAAAAGGTGCGACATTTAAGCTGTCATCTTTGGAGGACTGATCTGTGCCTGGGTGGTTGACCCTGGTTTGTCTTACAGGTTGAAAGCATGTGTGCTGGGTACTGGCCCCCATATGACAAGGACAACAGTGCTCTGCTGGCTTTCAGAGAAATTCCTGTACGTTTCACCCACACCCCACTACCACCTGCCTTACAAGCTTTTGTTGCATGCTGCTGTGTGATGTCAGGCCTCGGGGACACAGGATGGCATAGACCCTGCCCTTGAGGAGCTCACACTGAGGGGGAGGGGGTGTGGGGCACAAACATGCAAAACAACCTCTATCTAGTAAGATAGTTGCTATAGTGAAGCAGAATATAAAGTGCAGCGGGAATACCAGAGGTACACCGCAGTCTCCTTTGAGCTGTGTGAATTTTTGTTTATTGTTCAAGGAGAGCATATACTTGTCCCCACATCACCCACCTTCTGCATCATAGTTGGAGTTTTCCATGTGCCTCTCTTTATGATTGGCTTTAATCAACCCATTGAGGAAGACTAGATCTTTCTGGCCTCAGTTTCAAGGACACTCAGTACAGCGGGTGGGACTTGCTTGTGTGGATGGGGGATGTGGATTCCGCCCTCACACTAAAGGTAACTGCCCCTACAGATCTCAGAGTTGAAGAACCACGGCATCCTCCGGGTCCTGACAGCGGAAGCTGATGGATGGGAGCCAGGTGGTAAGGTCCCCTTCAGGGCCCTTGGAGCCTGGGTGGGACGCAGCTCAGAGCTCCCCATGAATCTACTTTTCACCATTTGACTTTCTCTCGCTACTTGTCCTACAGAATTTTATAGATTTATCATTCTTCAAGGAAAATTAGAATCAACACTGGATCAGGAGTTGAAAGACCTGGGTTCTAATCTAGCCCTGCTAGTGGCCTACTATGTGCCTTTGGGCAAATCATAAAATCTCTGTGTCTACAGTGGAAATATTAATACCTCCTTTATCTTCAAAGGGATATTATGATCATCAAATGAGACAGTGTATGTGAAAAGGCTTTGAAAACGTATCCTATTTTATCTGCTTTACATAATTCTTTCCTATACTATATTTAAAGCTCATTCCACTTGCTAATTTATTACACAGAAAGGTACACTCACCAATTACGAAACACCAGTTCTGGAGTCAGATATCTCTGGTTTAAATCTTGACTCTCTTACCCCCCACTACATGACGTTATGCACATTCTTTAACTTTTCCAACCCTCAGTTTCCTCATCTGTAAAACAAGGATTGTGGGGGCTGGCCCAGTGGCACAGCGGTTAAGTGCATGCTCTCCACTTTGGCGGCCCTGGGTTCGCGGGTTCAGATCCCGGGCGCACACTGAGGCACCACTTGTCAAACCATGCTATGGTGGCGTCCCATATAAAGTAGAGAAAGATGGGCATGGATGTTAGCCCAGGGCCAATCTTCCTCAGCAAAAAAGAGGAGGATTGGCATCAGATGTTAGCTCAGGGCTGATCTTCCTCACAAAAAAATAATGATAAAAAAAATAAAGATTGTATCAGAACCTGTATGATGGGAACTTTATAAGGATTAAATGAGATAAAGTACTCAGTTCACAGAATGTAAATCATAGTGAGTGCTCATTGGTTTGTATTGTTATCTTTAAATTCTGCAAACTGAAAATGTAATCTCCAAAAATATGGGGCTTGTTAAAAATATTCTAACATAGAAAAATTACTTGGAGTTCTATGAAGTTTCCTTTGATGGAATTTTGTCTTTATGTCTGATGAGAAACCTAACATTTATTAGTGATTTTGACTTAAATGCCAAAATATTTTATATTTCAGTACAACTGGCATTTATGTGCCAGATATTTTTTTTTAAATAATTTTTTTAAATTTATTTATTTTTCCCTCAAAGCCCCAGCAGATAGTTGTATGTCATAGCTGCACAGCCTTCTAGTTGCTGTACGTGGGACGTGGCCTCGGCATGGCCGGAGAAGCAGTGCATCAGTGCGTGCCCGGGATCCGAACCTGGGCCGCCAGTAGCGGAGCACGCACGCTTAACCGCTAAGCCACGGGGCCGGCCCTGTGCCAGATATTTTTAATCGTATTTAACAATTACAATTTTTTTTCAGATTTCTCTCAGCTAATTTAAGTTAATAGGCTGACTAAATCAGCAATGCTGTTTACTGTATGGATATGTGGAAGAGAGCCTAAATAAAGGAGGCAGTTGGAAAAAGATAAAGAACCATACCAGTATGAGCTGTGTTTGTTATCCTGGAGATTTGTGTTTTGCCTCCATTTTCTTCTGTTAGTCAAGGGGGGAATTAGTATCTATGTCAGGATCATCTTCAGATGCAGGAGGAGTCTACCTCGTTCCAAGAGGAAAGGAAAGAGATGCTCTTACATGGTCTGGATGTTTGTCTCCAGTTTTTAGGCACCAAATTGCAATTGCTAGTTGAGACCTTGTGCTTTCTGTGGACTCTCCTGTGGTCACAGCAAATTCCCACGCCCTTGCTGGTGAGGTTCCTGCTCCTGGCTCACAACCTTCCGTCAAGTTGTTTGTAGATGAGGGTGTCTAGGGTGAGATTATCAAGTTGCTTGTAGTGAGGATTTGAAGGGTGAAGGGTCAGGAAAGCTGGGTGTAGGTGAGGCGGGAGGGGTGAGGAGCCATCTTTAGTGGCATGATGAGCGCTCATTGTGCTGTTCCACTCTGCTCTGTTTGTTTAGCCACTTGGGCCCTTCTTTTCATCTCCTTAGCGTCCAGCACGCTGGAAGTAAATTTTGTTTTTTTCACCATTGAAGGTCGAATATTCTCTATTCTGTTGAAGTTATCTAGTTTGGAAGTCCTGAGGCTCAGTGTCTGCTACCCCAGACTGGGGCGGTGAGATTGAATTTCCTAGAAGTCCAGACGTTCAGCACCCGTCTCACCTGCTGCCTCTATCCACCCTATCCGCCTGCTATCCACCCTGCTGGACCCAAGCCCACGACGGTGTCAGTAATACTGCCTAACATGTATGGAGCATTTACCTCTGGGCCACATACTCTCGCCTAAGAAGTTAAAGAGTTCCATCATCCTCACGACAGTTCCATGAGTGATCCCAGAGGGTTAAGTAACGTGACTGCAGAAGCACAGCTAGTAGGTGGTGGAGATGAGATGTTCCCCAGCAGCTTGGCTCAAGGGTGCTTCCCGGCCGCAGTCCTCTACTGCTTTCCCGGCAGCTCGCTCTTCCTCTTCATCTGTTAGTGTTTTGAGTTTTGGTAGCACTTTGTTTAAGTTGCAAGTACACTTTCAAAAACAATTTGCCATGTGACATCCCCAGCCAAGACTGCGAGGCAGAGAGGAGCTGTCCTAAGCTACTTTTGCCACTGAGGCTGGAGAGATCACGGTTTTGGTATTGAACTGCAGTCTGTCCATCCTTCCCGTTATCTGTGGATGTTCTCTACAGCCTATTGAAAAGCCAGTGACAGGACATGCCACTAGCAATTCGGGCTGGAGAGTGAACAGCTGTCGTTTGCAGAAAAGGGCTGCGTGGTGGCAATAGAGAACCTACTTGCTACTTTTCTTCTGCTTTTTTCCCCTTTTATTGTGCTTTCATTCATTCATCAAACGTTCGTTGAGCACCTATCATCTGTCAGGCACTGTGCTAGGTTCCAGAGACCTCTGACCTCACGTAGCTCTCAGTGCAGTGGGAGAGACCGTGACAACACTGTGGTGAGCATTGGGTGTCAGGGTCTCTCAGAGGAGTGGCTCCAAATCCAGACTAGTGAAGTCAAAGCAGGCATCCAGGTGAGGCTGATATCAGAGTCAGCTGAAGGATGGGAAGGAGCTACCCCAGACGGGGTTGGAGCTGAAGGTGAGAGGCCCCGGGGTGCTGACTGTTGGCAGAGGGAGCTGAACAGCAGTCTGTGCAAAGGCACCAAAGGCGGGAGGCGTTGAGACACTTCAGGTAGCTCTGTGTGCCCTGGGGCAGAGCTGGAGAGGTAAGAAGGAGCCAGATTGTGAAGGTACTTAGACACTGGGCTGAAGAGTTTGGGTTTATCTTGGGAGTTATGGAGAATCTCTGGAGGATTTTGAGCAGGGGGGTGACATCAGCTCTGCCTTTTCAAAAGCTCCCTCTGGCAGCTGTGTGAAGAGGGTATCTGAGGGTGACAAGACACGAGGCAGACGGACGGCCTGGAGGCTGCAACAGGAATCCAGACATACCTGGGTCTCAGAGGGTCTCCCTTTCTCGCTGTTACAGTTGTGAGTACAGAGGTGCTCAGAGCCCAAGAAGAATGGGAAGCTGTGGACGACATCCAGCCAGAGACAGGTAACGGCAGGAATGGCGCTGTCCCCACACAGCCCAGCTGCTAGTACAGGCGCTGTCCACATGTGTCGCTGATGTTCCTGTGACCCTGGGATTCGGAGACAGAATTCTCATTTTGGCTACATCACACAGAATGAAATCTCTTTTCCAAATCCAAAGATGATGACATTCTACCACTGGAGGAAAAGGGAATGAGCGCCACGGAGAAAGGGCTGCCATCTGCCCAGCCCTGAGAGAAGACAGGGAGGACCTTGGTCAGGGTCAGCTTCTGCAAGGTGATGGGGTTGAGCAGGAGGATGGAGGAGGCACCCAGGGCCCCTGCATAAGGTTGAGCAGGTTGTTCACTGTACAAGGAAGTCCCTGGAGATGGTGCTGAAACCATCTGCTGGAAGGCTCTGAGGGCTGGGTAAAAATTGTCTCACGTCCCTTTCTGAGAGGTTTGGAAGGAGCTATAGGAGGGTAGAACTAGGACCCATATCTAGCCTGAGCCCCACTTGAGCTCGTGGAGAGATGTTACAGTGGACTGTGTCAGCCATCACCTATATTGCTAAGTGATAAGTTAATTCCCTGTGAACTGTAACAAAAGATGGAGAGGGGGTCATTCATATACAGGGTGTGAGAAAGGGCAAAGTGGAAATTAGGAAAGGCCCCTAAACAAACCTTGGCACCCTCCTACATGGGAATCTACTCTAGGACTTGCCCCCTCACAGAGCAGTGGATTTTAGGGAGCTGCGTGCAGAGCGAATCTATCCCTCCTCACTGCAGAGGCTGGCCCCGCAAGCCTCTGAACAGCCCAGTCTAGAAAGGGAGTTGGCCCAGCAGATAATGTGAGCTCCTTGAAAGAGGACTTGTTGCAGCTGTTGGTGTCTGATGTTTGCAGCTGAAGTCAGTGGCTTAGAGGTGACAGCCAGAAGGCCCTTGAAACGTTTGCTGACACAATGTCTACCTGGAGTGTCTTCCCTTTTGCCACAGGGAGCCAGGCCAGCTCAGACCAGCCTGGGCAGCTAATCTCCTTCACTGAGGCCCTGCAGCATTTCCAGACTGTGGACCTGTCCTCCTTCAAGGTATGAAAGGAGGGACGTTCGGGGTCACAAGCAAAGCACCTTCTTTCCAGGAGCCGGGTTTCTCATCCGCCAGGATAGGTCATTGGGCAAGCAAGATGAAAGCTGCCAG